GTGGACCTCAGGGTGCCGCCTTCCCATCATGTGACAGGGCCTGGCACACTTGATCTGTCATGGCACAGTTCATTTGTGTGAGCAACTTGACAGATGTCCGTAGTGAGGCATCAAATTGGATGGTGTCTGCTAACAAATCTGATGGGAAAACAGAAAAGAGAATTCAAAGGATTATTATTATTTTTTTTTTAGGCTTAAATTTGCCATTGAGCTGTTTGAGCCTCTGTCGTTAAGGCTGCTTTATTAGAAGTCTACACAATTCTTCACATGGGTGTCAAAATAATTTCAGTGAAAATGAGGTTGGGTGGACTCATCAAGCTGAAGTATTCGTCTTGTGATTACAGATGGGTTTTTGTTTCTGCTCTTCTACTTCCTTCCAAGCCTTTTGCTGGATGAGCTGGACTTAACAATCTGCATTAATTTACTTTGGCACTTCACACGGTCAGACGGGCCACGAACACCATGGTCTCTAATACATTTCTAAAAAATCCTGCGGATGCTCCTTTTTAATTGATGTCCTTCATAAATTGTGTTTGCTGGAGCTATAATTACTCGTCAAGCAGCGAAAGCAAATCTACCTCCAAGTACAATGAAGATGTTCTTTTATAAGATTATTAAGATACAGAAGTTTGGCATGCAGAGTAATTTAGTTCTGCTTTATAATGATATCTTCAGGGACTGTATCTTTGGGGATCACATCCATTAGAGCCTAGCAAAGTGGAAAAGGACCTATCACTACTGCGCTCCTCATAAATGTCAGATGCCCGCGCCTTGCAGTGACCATTGCCCCGTATATGTGCTTGTTATAAAACACTTGGAACGGGTTGATTTTTTTTTTTTATAATGTTTTTGCATGCCCTTCAGAGTAATTAACTGCTTCGCTGGACGTTCATTTAGCTTATTTGGAGTATTTTAATCTGACTCTTGAAATTGCTTGAATGATTCCTACATGATTGAACCGGGGATCTTTGAAGGAACATCAGCAGAGGGGTTATCATCTCAAAAATTTGGAAATAGCCCAAATTAAACAGATACAAGATGGATCACTTAGAAATTCTTATTTAACTGATTTATAAAATGCGTAAGTTTTACCTTGGTATTAAATTAGGGTATTAGTTTTTTGTTTTTAAAGAGGGATTTAGGGAAAGTGAAAGAAGAAGATAGCAAGGTTTTCTAAAGGGTGAGGGTATTTGTGGGAGAAATAAAAGGAGGTGATCCAAAGATCTTATTTTATTTTTTGTCTCCCACTTAAAAATGTCAGCTATATGTAAAGCTATATGCATCTTTTTCACTACTCTGTCTCCAGCGTCCAGCACAGTGCCTAGACACAGCTGTCATGTAAATAGGGGACTTCTCAGAGCCTAGAGCCTCATGGGGCATTGTGACACATCAAGCATCCTTTTCCAAACTCGATGGACTATGGAACCCTTTTCTCAAGAAACATTAGAATGGGGTCTCTTCAAATACCCCCTGGGAATTCTAGCTTTGAGTAAAATAATAGCAATAAAATATTAAAACTGAATTGATCACGAAGTGAAATGTTTACTTTTTTTGCGGAGACTGGAACACAAGGGATAGAGAGCATGAGGTAGGAGGGATGTCAGACTTCCATGTTGAACCCATCATCTAGAGCAAGTTGCTTGACCTCGGGCAGCCTCTGTGTATCGATCTTTGAAGTAGGGATCATAATTATATTTACCTTGCTGGTTGTTAGGAAAATAGATTACATTTAGTCCCACTTTGGAAAATTAAATGAAATAATGTATATAGCGGGCTTCCCTGGGCTAACTATTTATTCTTATTTTCATTATTATTGTTGTTCTTATTAAGAAGTAAGTGATAAATGACCCCAGTTAAAAGGGGGTGATGACGAGGCACTCAAGATTAAATGGAGTCAGCTTTCCTCCCTCTTCTCAACAAATATGGGAGTGCTTCTAATATGCCAGGCATTGTTTATTCTGGGGGTGACAGTGTCGAACCCAGTTAAAGCCCCTCCCTGTGGACCTGGAGGGGTTTTGTAGCATAATGTGTTTATGGCTGTCACCGTCCCCTAGAACATAAAGTAAATTTAATTGTACATAATTCACTTAAAGTTAATTGTTCTGAGGTCATTATACTAGTGATCTGCCCCAAAGCAGTACTTTTTCTCTCAGAATCCGATCTGTTCTTAACACCAAATAAGTAAATCAGGATTCAGAGGTCATGTTTTGAAATGAAATAAATCAAATGAAGCTAGCATTAAGAAATAAGCTCATCAAATGGAACACGCCCTTTTATTCCAATTAGTCTATCCACCACAGTGGGTGGCTAGAAAATCAAAATAGGCAACACCCAGTTAAATTTGGATCTCAGATAAAGTATAAGTATATCCCAAGTAGTACGTGGGATATACTTATCCTGGCGGGGGGAGGGGGGAAGCTGTATATTTGAAAGTCCAATTTAACTGGCTGCCTTGTGTTTTATCTGACTCTCCTACCTGCTCTGAACCAGGGTTCCAGCCATCTGTGCAGGAGAGTGACCACTGTGGGCTGCAAGTCTTTAGGCCAGGAGGCATCTCACTCAAAATAGAGTAGAAGCCTTTACATCTCTTTGAAATGATTTAGAACTGTTCCCGCCTGATCACCGAGTGTTTCCAAATTAAAAGCCATTAATTAAGGCCTTCTGCAGATACAAGAGATAGGCAAGGAGTGCTTTGTAAAGCCAGCTCAGTACTTCAGGTGAGAGCTTTTCAAATTACGTGGACCAGTAGAGCCACCTGCTTGACTCAACGCTGTGGCCTGCGTGGGGCTCCTCAGCGCATGGCGGTGCCAGGGTTGTTACTGAGTTTTCTCATTTCTCCAGGGCAAATACTAATTAATGGATACAATTCACAGCTGATTAGCTGTAGTTTCTTCAGTAATTACATTCGCATACTAACTGTTCAGAAGAGGATTTCTAACCCAGTTCTTATTTCATTCTAAGCTTAATTTGTTTTTTGAATTGTTTAGGCCCTTAGTTTAATAGCCATTTTATTTTTCTTTGTTGTTTTAGGTGCTATTAGATAATAAGTGAGTTTAATCTTAAAAAAAAATACTCTCTGATAATGAGCTGTTTGCCTTAAATGGATTTCTAATTCCCCAACAAAACCTACATTTAAATAACGTTAAAGTTGTGATACGGGCTGTCCGGTGGTTTTTTTGGGGGGGGGCAGGATTGGAACATGGAATATACCGGATTCTCTTTTATATTCCCCCCAAAACTTGATTACAGGCCTGAGCTTTTAATTCTGGTATCATTCATACATCAAAAGCTTCATGACAGAAACCTTTACTGTTTTTTTTTTTGCATGTATTTGGCATAGTGGAATAATGAGGAAAATGTGTGTGTGTGTGTGTGTGTGTGTGTGTGTGTGTGTACATCCACGTGCACTGGTGCACATGTGTTTGATTCAGAGAAGCCAGAGAAAGGCCCTCCTTAAGGGATAGCTAATACATTTTTGAGAAATCCTTGTAAAGACATTTACCCAAATGAATCCAAGTGCTGGAGGAGAACCTTCCTGATGGTTACTTGTGTGTGTGTGTGTGTGTGTGTGTGTGTGTGTGTGTGTGTTGAGGTGTCATTCCACAGGGGAGAATTTTCTGCTCTGGATGGTAACAGCACTTTGGAACCATTAGTCTTTCCTATAAATCCTGCTTAGTTCTTGGATCCCTGACATGATACAGTGTAGCATGTCAATCCCCTATCTGTAGGTTCAGAGTCAGGCTGAGAGCACCCCCCCATAAGTGTTTATCAGTTTATGGAGAGGAGGATTATGTGGGTCTTCCATATCTATATATTCGCATCTGTGTTCTGTTTATTCTCTATATCTCTATATCTGTATCTGTATATCTGTCAATATACCCTCCTATTTATCTATGTGGGTTTTAGATTGAAAGAATAGCTATATACATTTCACCCTTTGGACACCAAACCTTTGTTTTATTTGATGCATTAAATAATTTGATGCATTAAATAATTAAATAATTTGATGCATAAATAATATGCTTTATAAATAGTCCATGCTTATACCATTTAAAAATCATGAAAATAATACAGCTCTAGGTAATTATGCCCACAGAACCTTTCCATATTGCCAGACTGATAACAGAATGTTTAAGGCAACAAAATGTGCCTATTTATACCATTTGAACCCAAAAATACATTTCTGCCCAAAACCCAAGTTTTACATTTTGATAACAGGTCCCTAGAAGTAAAGAGCTTAAGTCTGAAATGCTGATACAGTCTTATTTGTGATGATATGAATGGGCTATTGTGTTAGGGAATAAAATAAAAAATTGCTGTGTTCATAGGATCCCGCTTATTTATTAAACCTCTTTGCATTTAATGTTACATTGAGAGATTAAATATCACTGTTTTCAGCAGCTCCAATGGATATAGATATGGCTTCTTTAAATTCTGGAGATTTTAAAATTTTTTTCTTTAGTCTTATTTATTTATATTCGTGCCACACCTCATTCACTTAGAAAATAGAATTTGAGTCCTGGGAATTGAATTTTATTCCCTTTAATTCACATTTTTAACCTACCCACACTTGTGACATCTGTTCTTGAAAAGTAAGCTCTAAAATCCCAACATGCTTTAAAATGTGTCAAGGTGATTCTCTTGGAAACTCTTCTCCTAACCTCTGACAAGTGCCAGTTCGATAAACAACACCGTGGTGATAGGTTGGCCTGGTGTTTGTAATTGTCTCCCTTCACTATTAGTCTTGATGAGAAACAAAACTATTTCCTAGAATTATTGAGTTAGCTTAACTCCGTGCTTTATTTTCCAAGGGAACTAGCTGTCAGCAGGGCTGTGCTTTGACATCTTTCCTGTTTTGAATTTGATCTCAGGGAGACCCCTATCCCTGACCCCATTCTCCTAACAGGGACATTCTTTCTAAATGGTATCTGAGCTTTCAAAACCAGGATTCTTATTAAGCCCCACATTAACATAAAACCATCTCTTTTTTTTTCTTTCAGTTTGGAAATAATAATAACTACATGAGCATGGCAGAAGCCAACAACACATTCTTTGCTGCCAGCGAGGTAGGTGTCTGTCACAATGGTGTCCCTTCGTGTTTTGCCTGTTATTTAGGTAATTTGATAGGCTCCAGAGTCACATAAGAGAGTGAGATAAATTTGATAGTTTGCGTTCCCTCATGTGGCCCAAGGTAATGACTCTGAAGGAGAAATAAGAAAAACCTACCCGAAAAGAAAATAACCAGACAAAAGTTTATCACTTATCCATTGCTTCTATTGCTTCTGTGCCTAAATTTGTGCAAAAAAAAAATTGTTGAAAAAATATCCATGAAAACAAAAATGAATTATGTTAATACACATATACACACAGTATATTGGTATCTAAGCAGATAAGTAACTGTTTTGGAAATGAGGCTAGAAGTGAATTTTAATAGAAGATATTTGAACTTCATATTTCTCTAGAGGTAATTTCATTAAGTTGCCATGATTTGGGAAACTGTGGCAGAGCAGTATCATAGTCTTTTGGAGAGTTGATGGGGCAATGCAAAATGAGGGTTTTAGTTCATGTTGGGGCCTCAGAGCTTAGCACAGTCCTTGGCTGTATGTAGTAGGTACTCAATAAAAATTTATTGACTAAATGCATGGGTGTGTTCCAAGACATGGTTGTAGCTGGGAAAGCTGGGTGGTGGAATCTGAATGCAGCACCACATGGGCTCTGGGTTCGTAATCCAGTTATGGGAGTGCACATGGAACAAACATGGTCTTCTTGAGATATATGTATTTTTTAACCACATTCCTATTATTGACTTAGAACTGTTTTTTGGTCTTACTGGTCTACTTTCTACAAAAACCTGGATGTTAATTACACCAAAGAAAGGGTTCCCTAATAATGGTGGCCTGTGTGAGATTTAAGATTTTCAAATAGGAACAAACAGAAGTGTGAAATTGGTCCAAATGGAACATTTCCTCTAGCGGCTTATGTAATAAAAAGTCTTCATTTTCCAAATACATTCAAATATAGGAAACTGAACTGGTTTGACCCCAGAGGATGAAAATAATAATGGCTTTGTAAATGATCTTGGTACCGGGAAGCAAGTGATATGAAAGAAATTAACGCTGAGAAATTATTAGAATAAATGGGGAATCAAGAATGGAGGGTCTTCGTGGATGAATCGTTTTTTACAGTGACCGTCATCCCTAACCAGGAAGGCAGCTTAGGTAGCGAATATTGTTTGGCGCTGGCTGCTGTGTTGTTTGTGATAATGAACACAAACCCCATCTGTAAGGACAACATGATGTTTCATTCTGTAGGATTTTTTTCCCTACATTTGAATCAAACATTGATGAAAGCTCTACTGCCAGCAGCTGTTCAGAGACAATTTGATTCCAGCTGTGATAATTCACCGTGTCAGACATTGGCTGTTATATGTTGATACAACAGTTCTCCAGATTTGCATTTTTATCAAAAGGAACAAATGTTTTGAACATTTCAGTACAGATGGTATTTAACCATGTACATTCTACTTTAACATGTTCAAGGTAAACATGGAGAAGTCGGTATCTGCAAAAATAATCACATAAACTCCAAATGATTAGTCTGATATTGGTCATCTGGCGGAGTTACAGAAGTCAGGGTCTTTTATTGTTGATGTCACACATGGTTCTTTTTTATCATCTCTCAGCCAGCGTTTTGGAAATAGAATGCTTAACTTTAATATTTTGCCTCTCTTTTTCCTTTTCCCTGCAGAATACTTCACTTTATATTTAATATTTTACCTCTCTTTAAAGAGGCTTTAAGATTTTAGCATTTCCCTGGTTATATGTGACTGTGTTATTTTATCGTTTCATTAGGTTCCCATATAGCAATACACGAAGTTCTAACTTAAAATTAATTTGTCTTTTGAAAAATGATACCATGGGGACCTATGATATATAAGACATCTCTCTATTCCTTAACAAAAATAAAAAATGGAAACCTCTTTAATTTTGACTGCCTGGCATAAGACATGCTTTACGGCAGTGTTTAAGAGGTAATCTTATGTAATGATTTCACTGTATATCTCTCAATCAAAACATAAGGCCCAAGTAAATGTTAACGTATCACCACATTATAGCCTGTGCCTAATTTCCCAATCACTGCATTAAAAGTAAATTTATTTGGTATTTTAACATTTTAATGAGTGCAAACTAATTCAGGAGGACTGTAGGTCTGCATGCTGTAAAGTCTAAATTGTGCCTGAAACCAGTTCCCTTCACATCAATATTGTCCTGAAGATAACACTACAGGGACTCCGATACTCTAAGTTTGAAATTCACACATTAGCTTTATGTTTTCTATCTGTGTCATGATTACCCTGACCATTTTTAAAGTACTTTAAATATTTATTGAAATAATATTTCAAGTGTTAATTACAGTGGTAATGAAAACAGCCAAATGCCACATATCAAGAATGAGTGTTTATCCGTATTGTTAATGTGATATGTTAGATTTCATTAAGCAGTAATGGGGTAGCAAATGAGTCACAAATTACAGTTGCATCTGTTACTAGACCACATTAGTGCCAAAATAACGGCAAACGCAGCCATAGGGTTACGTTCATTAGCCAACCACGTTTGTGGCCAATTCATCCCTTTGTTGCTGAGAACTCGGGGTAACGCAGTAAGAAATTGACATCTTTCGGGGTCATTGTAAGAATGCATACGTTGGAAAAAAATCTAATATTTCATTCTGGCTTTCAGATGTGTTCTTATGAGGCTGTGTTTTGCATTTATTGACTCTGCTAAGAACCTCAAGGTGATTAGTTGTCCCAACACAGATCCCCACAGCTGTGATCTCTTTATTTCCAGGGAGATGGAAATAGTATCTGACAGGTTCTATGTGTAAGAAGTGTTTTTCGTTGCTTTTTTCTCCCCTAGAGTTTGTTTCTCTTTTTTTTTCCCCCAATGCTTATTATATGATATCATCCTTGATAGTTTGAAGAATGAAGCTTTTTAACTCTTAATTAGTTTTCAGGGCCTATAATAGCAGACTCCAATTAACTTGCACAAGTTCATGCTTTCAAATATTATTAATAATAAACGAACTATAACTTTGACCCTCTGAGCTAGGAATAAAAAATATGTGGGTGGCTCACTATATATATATGCATATATATATATATATATATATATATATATATATACACACAACTCATAAATATATAAAAATATACATACCTGTTATATATTATATATACACTATATAATATAATATATAATATATATTATATTATATATAATAACATGCATATATGTTATAAAATATAAGGAACAGAATGTGAGGGTATCTATATTTATGTCTTTTAGCAGACATTCCATATGCTATATATGTTTTATATATGCATGTTATTATATATATAATATATATTTATTCATTTTTCTTTCTGTACCTTGATTTCCCCTCTTCCCCAAACATCCAATTATTTTCTAAGAAAGATGGTTCCTATGGTTGAGTGAGGCAGCCCTGATTTACGTAAAAGAACCTACCGTAAAACACAGAATCTCCGTAGCAGGGAAGAAAAACAATTCATGAAGATGTACTTAAGTTTGGAGATGTCACACTTGTCTAAGCAAGTGAGCAACATCGATGTCATTAGTATGTCTATATCAATATAGCTCTGTGCTCTCTAGGTAGTCTTTAAAAGTTGAAGACTGTTAGAAAATGTTTCGATAAACACATATTAAAATGTTCACATAAAAGAAAATAACCCTCCTTCTACTTTAAATACAAGCATGGTGCCTTTTAATATGAGCTCTGATAATCCTTATATAAAGCGTTGCATGACACACAATTTCCATGGAAGCATTCATTGCACTTGGGAATATACCAATAAGGAAATTAAAAAACCAAACCGCAAATTTAATATTACTTGTTTTATAGATTGTGGCAGAAAGTAAATATGTGTAATGTTCACTTCTGGATTAATGCTGTGTATGTGTGCACCACAAAATCGTCAGCATTTTATGAAGCATGTGGATCGTGTAAGCGGTTTGAGCTGTTTCACTAACATATCAATAAAGTGGCAATTTGTTATATAGCCAAATCTAATGTCGCTGATGCTCCAACTAACAACAAAGACAGATGTTGCTAATTAAGTACACATTAAAAAACTGTTAATACTGATACTCCATTAAAACCATATGATAATGAGACTTAAATCTTTAATCAGAATGATCAGCAAAACTTTATATATGGAAATCTGTGTTTAAGATGTTTTCATTTGAGAAATAAATATTTGGCCTACATATGTAGTGTTTTCATGAAAAGTCTTTCTTCTTCCCTCGAAGGAGGAATAAAAAATATAAGGAACAGAATGTGAGGATATCTATATTTTGTTTCCTTTTAGCAGACATTCCATACGCCCAGCCTGGGGGACGAGGAGTTTGAAATCCCACCCATCACGCCTCCTCCAGAGTCGGACCCCACCCTGGGCATGCCTGATGTACTGCTACCCTTTCAAGCTCTCAGTGATCCACTGCCTTCCCAGGGAAGTGAATTCACACCCCAGTTTCCTCCTCAAAGCCTGGATCTTCCTTCTATTACGATCTCAAGAAATCTTGTGGAACAAGATGGTGTGCTTCATAGCAGTGGGTTACATATGGTAGGCACCACATTTATTGCTTGAAAGTCTTTTTATCTTTTGCACTATCATAGATAAAGATCTGAGTGTTCATTCTGGAGTATGTTTCTGCTTGTCCACTGTGGACATGTAGATTGTTATGCCTGCTACCATTCAAATGTGGGCACAGTCCTGGATCAGTACCTGGTATTGGGTTGATTGACAGTTGTAGAAAAGAGGATGACCAAGGAGATCCTTCTAATATGACACAATTTTTAAGAAGTCTGATTCATGGGTTTGGAAGTAGCCAGTCTTCCTTTGCCTCTGGTTGAATACAGAGGTGTGCTTGATTTGAAAGTTTACCCAGGTGAGATTTTAGAAATGGAAACCTTTATCAGGTGTACCTGGGTCTTTTGAACTTGTTGGATACAAGGTAAAGTTGATGATACATGATTTGCTCCTGCCTCAAATGAAATATCAAACTGTGATTCAGAGAAAAGAAAAAAATAATAATTGCTTATAACCAGCAGAGGAAAATATAGAATGGGTTATTGTGTGAAATGCATCTAATGATGTTATTTATTGTCATAAACATCAAATAAGGCACTCCGGAGAGCCAAGATTACTAATGCAATAATTTTGATTCTATTTTTCTTGGTGTGCAATTACAGTCAGCAATCACCAGAGTAAATCTGCTTAAGTATTTTAAACTCTTCTGCTGCGATTGTCAGGTTTTTTTCCACCATAGTATGTAATGCATTTGTGTCTGTCTAGGTGAGGTACTAAGCAGATATTTTAAAACAAGATTAATAGTTTATAGGGCTTAAAAAAAAACTCTGATAAAATGAAACAGATGTGTTGGTATAACAAAAAACAAATCCTTTTGCTTGTTTACATATTTCTCTGCACATTAGGACCATGCCAGTGATGTTTATTGGTTTCATTGTTAATTCCCCAGATAACAGCATATGATTGCAAAATATGTAGTGGATTAGCCGTGCAAAGATTCAGTGTGCTCTCTGAAATACAAGATTACTTTCCCAAATAGGATTGCTGCAACATAATTTTCTTTGCCTGTGATCTTTTGTGTTTAAGCTGAACATGAGGGTTTTTATTTTTACTTTTTTTTTAAGTCAGAAAAAGAATGCAGTGAGCAGTCGGGAAATGGTCATTAAGTATTCATCAACGTTACTCGACATCACAAATAATTGTTTCCTGTGGACTTTCCTACGTTCTTGTCCCTTTGACACTAGAAAGGAGGGTTCCGTCCCTTTCCTCTACAGGCAGGCTTGTAACATTGTGTCTGGAAAATAATAACAATAAAAAAGGGTGTTTAGTCGCCAACCAGGTTTGCCAGGACTGTGCCATTTATTCATAGAGGCTCAGCCAGGCTCATTTAAGTTGCAGAAATAGTTAAGAGACCATATAATGTATGCTAAAATGTGTACTTTATTAAATTGGTAAATATTTATTAATAATATAAGAATCTGCCTTTAAATTAAACATCTGATGAATTACCTTGCCTTAAAGCTATAAAACTGTTATTGCTGCTATAAAAAAGTGTAAAGGAGGCATTTTGACTATGAAATTTCATTTCATGGTCAATTGAATTTACTATATTGGAAAGAACTAAAGATGGAATCATAAAATAATTATGATATTCACATACACTTAAAGAACAATGCTTTCAGGGACTGGCGTTGGGGGAGAGAACTCAATTTTTAATGCTTCTTTTGTAATGTATGGGCTAATCACTAAAGCAGTTGAATTATTTCATTGATTTTTAAAAGTATAGGTACTTCAGCTAAGTGCAGGCTGTTGTCATGGTATTTACATGGACCTCATCACATTTATTGGTGCCTTTTTGAAGTTTGGCTGAACCTGAATGCCATTTATTTGGGCTGGAAACAAACTAATCTTGTTGAAAATTCTAGTAGAATTTCACCTTGAAGAAATGTCATGGGATTTTAAATCACAAATGTTGGAAAAAATAAAATGTACTGGGACAGAATTATGATGAATACAATGTGTCTTTGGCTTTGTTCTATGGACTACCTGACATGTTCACCTATAAACTTGAATTCAGAATCGCCAGAGGCATGGTTAAAAATAGGTTATGTCAAGGTTCTTCTATATCTCCCTCCGGGTACCGAGTTGGCTGGCTACATCATAATACTCCACAGAAGCCTCCTCGGAGATTTCCCTGAGGAAAGTCACCAGAAAAATAATAAATAATACTTTCTACCTCATGCATTCAGCTTCCCAGTGCACGTTGGATATTTCCTACCTTATGCAAGGCAGAAGTTTTATTATCCAAATGAATATGGCAGTCTGTTAAGGATTACTATGGTGCGTTAAGACTATCATATAAGAAGAAAAGCCAGCTTGTTTATATGTTGCATTGAACCAGCTTTTCTTCAGAGCCTCATCGGTTTTCCTTTAGAATGAGTGACAGTTTTGTCACATTACTGATTAGCTGCATTATTGTTGACAACAAGCACAACACGTTTATCTTCCTTAAATTTATGCCATTATATTTAAAAACAGAAAGCAGGAACATAAAAAGGGGGATTAAAAAGAGCCCAATGATTAGCATTCACATTTCAAAATATGCAAATAATGCCCTAGTATTCAAAAGTGAATTGCTGAAAAATTGAATGTCGAAGCATTTGTGGCTTCAAAGAACAACCTTGATTTGCTTGTCGTGGATACGTATGTTTTGAAACAGGATGTGGTTGGCAAGTCAAAATCAACTGTAGATTTTGCTTAAAAATTCGTTCCCCTTAAGCATTATTGTCAGTTCAGATGATCATCTGGAAATTATTTTAATCTACAAAAGATCGCAATTCTAAAAATCTACAATGTGCGCTCCAAAGGATTTTTTTTTTTAACACCTCTCTATAATCTGCCCAGCCCGCTGAGTAGCATTGACATCAGTAGTACATCAATTTCAGAAAGTGGATTATTTTTACTAGACAGCTATTGTGACATATTGGGTCAGTCATAAATGAAAGATATTCATGCAAGCATGCAATACTTGTAATGAAGTCTCACTCTGACCTTCTGTATGATTGATTCTGTAATTTAGTTTTCTCAGGCAGTGCCTGAAATGAAATGAAATCATGTTGAACAAGTTTTGAATACCCACAGTGCACCAGGAGAAGAAAAATCTGCAGCCCCAGAGGCTTGAGAGAGAGCAGATGAACGATTTATCTCTATGCTATTATAGCCTATGCCAGCATTCAACATTTCTTCTTCTTCTCCTCTTTTTTTTTTTTTTTTCTTATTTGGCTTAAGTACTTAATTCTGCAGGTAGCTGTAAATGGGAAAATAAAATGCTGTTCTGATTTAAAATGACAGGACAGGAGTATGTGCGAGGGACTGATAAAATATCTTCAATAGAACTGACCTTTCATGTAGCTGAAAGTTACTGGGGGATTCATCCTCATAATTACCATATAGATTATTTTTATTTCTTTCCTGCAATGAAACATTTCAGAGAGCAGTAGTGCTGATTGAATGAAAATTGAACTTGTTAACATTCTTTTCAGCTTAGCCTGTTGTACATAACAGAAGGTTAGCTTTGATGAATTTCAAAATTCTCTTTGATATCGAAGAAACAGACAGTAAAATAATTGTCTCTAGTCTGATATTTTGTATTGCCCCCCCAAAAGAGAATTTATAAAACACACTGATAATTCACACACTTCCCCCCACCCCTACATTATATTTCACGTGTAGAGGACTGGCGTTTTCTGTTTGATTTTGCTTTGAATTTAATTGTGATAGCGCATGTGTCTAGAAAATGCTACAGTGGTGCACAAAATAATAACCAATGTAATATTAGGAAATTGAAAAAGATGGAAGTACAGGAAGAGTCTGAAAGTATCTGTACGTGTTAAGGCACTAGGAAAAAAAAGTCCTATAGGAGATACTCGTGCAGAGAAGAAAATGATAAGCTCTTAAAATATTCATAAGACTCTTAAATCATAAATTACCAGGCTTGTTTTACAAGTTTTTATTTTTCCTAAAACTGTTGGCATGACTCTAATTTTGAAGTTGAATTATTTTCATCTTTACAAAATGACTTTCCTGCCGTTTCATACTTTTGAAAAAATCGTACATTAAGAGACATAGCAGACTTTCAATTAATACATTGTTTTTAGCAATGTTGCTTAATGTGTTACAGATAAAACAGTTATTTCATGGGTCATTAATGTGTTTAATGCGTGGAACGTTCTATTAAAACAAGCTCTTATTATTATTATGAACATGTTCATTGCCATTGTCAATAGAGGCTGCACAGCTAAATTCCGCAGGATGATTACCATTTAGCCATTGTGGGGGTGGGCACCAATTCTTCATATCAATTGAACAGTTACTTCAATTGTGTTTATTTGGGGTGAAGTTATTGTCAAAAGGTATTTTTATTGTATGTTAACAATAGAAAAGATACAACTTACATAAGCAAAAAATTCACTTCAAGTGGAAAAGGACCTAATTATACAAAACCTAAGTAATAAAATGAAAACCATATTAACCTACAGCAAGTATTTATTGAGCACCTACTAAGCGCCACATATTAGGGATTTTTGTTGTTGTTGTTTTGGTACTGGGGACTGAATCCAGGAACACTTAACAACTGAGCAACATCCCTAACCCTATTTATTTTTTACTTTGAAACCAGATATTGCTAAGTTGCTTAGGGCCTCGATAAATTGCTGAGGCTGGCCTTGAATTTGAGATCCTCCTGCCTCAGCCTCCCCAGTTGTTGGGATTATAGGCACACACCACCATACCTAGCTTATGCATTGTTCTTATTCATTAGAAAGTGATTATACTATGTATGAAATTTTTTTTTTATTATCAGTTCCTCTGTGTAATACAAAAACTCAGAATCTGAATATAGAAAGGTGCTTATCATCAAAATCGACTTTAATTGGCTTTAATTGACAATTGTCTGCCCAAACTGCCCAAGCTGTAGGCACTTCTACTGCTTTCTTGGGGGGAACAAATAGCCTTGTACCATTTGGAGCTTAAAA